TCTGAACACAGCACGGTGTCTGTATTAGAGTTGACTTCAACTGAAAAGCCACTTCTGGATAATTACCTAGACAGCTCATGAAATGATTCTTCTGCCTTGAGAATCAATATCTTAAAAAACCAATCAAGCCAAAATGTTATAGCATCAAATAATCTAACATATAAAAAGAAAATCTAGTTGGAGGATGTTCAGAATCCTTTCAAAAGTATACCTGTTAAATAAAATAAAAGATAATGGAAAATCCACTGGCATTCCCAATGACATGCTGAAAAACATCCCAATTAGTATACATGACTTGAACTCCTTAATATACAGAGGAGCTTGGAAATGAAATAATGCCACATGACAGCCTTATACATGTGAGAAGTACTACTTATGAGGTATATTAACATGAAAATCAACAGTGAAATGGCAGTAAGCACTTACTTGATTAGATGAAATTAAAAAGACTGACCACATCAAGTATTGGGGAGGACCTAAACCCTCAGACACTGGGGCAGAGAGTGTAAATGGTGGAATACAGCTCGGCAGTTTATTTAAAAAGTGAGCATATGTTTTCCATATGATTCAGCCATTTCATCCCTAGGTATTTACTCAACAGAAATGAAAGCATGTGTCTATACAAGTACTGGTGAATGAGGGTCCATAATTCCTTTTTTTAAACATCCAAATACGAGAAACAATTCAAATGTTCATCAACAGGTGAATGGATAAAAATACTGTAGTGCATCCATTCAATGGGATGTTACTTAGCAATAAAGAGGGAAGAACTATTAATATATGTATTGACATAGATAAATCCAAAAATAGTTACACTGAGTGAAATAAACCAGACAACAAAAGTATGGTTGCCTCTCAGCATCCATGGGAATGGGTTCCAGGATACTATGCAGATATCAAAAATCTGCCATGCTCGAGACCCTTAAACAAAGGGGCCTAGTGATTGCATATAACAACACATGAACATCTTCCTGTGTACTTTAGATCAACTCCAGATTACTTATAATAGCTAATATAATGCAAATGCTATATAAATACTTATAGTGTATTGTTTAGAGAATAATACGGAAAAATATCTGTACAATCAATTTGTTTCAAATATTTTCAATTCATAATTAGTTGGATCCATGGATGCAGAGCTCACAAATATGGAAGGCTGACTACACATGGTGTATTTCCATTTATAAAAACACTTGCAAAACGCAAACTAAATCACAGCGACAGAGAGGGTATCAGTGGTTGGTTGGAGATGAGAGCCAAGGAGAACAGGAGTAAATTAACCAAGGACAGAGGAAATAGCTGGGAGTGATGTTATCTTAATTATGGTGATGACTGCACAAATATACACATGTCAATGCTAATCAAATTGTACATTTAAAAGTGTGTGATTTGTCATTTGCCAATTATATCTCAATAAAACTATAAAAACCAATCTTCATAAATTATTTGAGAAAAGACTAAATTCCATTTCACATCAAAATTAAGACTGTAAAGCTCTCTACACTTTACATGGCACTTTCAGAAGTGCCATCTAACTTCATCCTTACAAAAATAAGTTCTGAGAACAAGTTTCATGCCATCAACTAGACTTCACAGATCAGAGACTGAGGATCAACAACCCCCAATTTCCCACTCTTACACGAAATTTATTATCTGTTTGGTTCTTGCAGACGCTCAGATTTGCTCATCCTGCTCTATGCTAAGGATGATCATTACTAACAGGACAGCAAGTCTTCTGGCATGAACATGAAACTCAGTTTTATTCTGTTAGCCTAAAATATGGTTTGAGGAAACCTTAAAATTGCTTGTGATATCTCAAAAGAGAAGAGAAAGAAAATTAGTCTTCTATTATATCTAGCTCTCACTAAATCAGGAGAAAAAGAACTTAAGATATAAGAAAACAGGGCCATGGAAGAGGACAGGAGACTGGGGAAAGGTGTGGTGCAGGGGTATGGCATGCTAGATTCTTTTTTTGTTTGTTTTGTTCTGTTTTTTCAGCTTTAATTGAGTTTATTGGTACATTTTAGGGATACAGTACAGTTACATTCATTGTTGGGATCTTGTACCTCTACATGACAGATCTTGGTTCTCATTTTTCCCCCTTGTCCCTGCCCTCCCTTCACCCCCTCCTCTCCTCCCCATCTACAACCACTTTATTTCCATCTTTTCTTTATCTCACATTTTTTTCTCTTCCCTTATTACCCTTCCCCTACCCATCCCACCTTCCCTACACCTTTAGACCTTTTCTTCCCATTTCACAATGTCAGTTCTCTCATTAGGATCTTATGCATTATTACAGTTTATTCACACAAGAGAAACTATTTGGTATTTACACATGTGTGACTTATTTATTTCACTTAGGAGTATATCCTCAATATGTATCCATTTTCCTATGAATGAATCTGTTTTCTCATTCTTTATGGCTGAGTAATATTCCATTTTATAGAAAAACCACATCTTCTTTATCCAGTTTCCAACTGAGGGGCAAATGGGCTGTTTCCAAGTTTTAGCTATTACAAACTGTGCCGCGATAAACATGGGTGCGCATACATCACTGTGATATGATTCTTTTAGTTCTTTGGCATGCTAGATTCTTAAAAGCCCAGCTTCACACACACACACACACACACACACACACACACACACACACACACACCCCAAGATCCTTCATCTTAAACTCAAATTGTTCAATTTCAGATACAATTCATCCAGCCTGTCTTTCTCTTCTATTCTACTGAGATAATGATATACTTACTTAAACAATAACTTCCATTGAGTTTTAATTCCTAAAACAAACAATTTAGAGTTCTTCACAATGAAATGGAGAACATTTTTATCATCTGAAACAGAAACTCTGCATCTACCAGCAGTCACCCCCCATTTCCTTCCTCACTCCTTACCTCACAGCTTCCAGACCGAGGCATCACCAATCATTTCGCGCTCTTTATGGATTTATGGCCATTTCATAACAATTAAATCATGCAATATGTGGCTTTTTGCAACTGGGTTCTTTCTCTTGGCATAATATTTCCAGACTCATCCATTGTAACCTGTATTCATCCTTGTATGACCAAATAATTTTTCATTGTGTGGACATATCAAGTTTTATTTATCCGTTTATTAGTTTATGGGTATTTGGGTTGTTTCTGCATTTTGGCTATTATGAATGGTATAATGAATTATTATGCACAAGTTTTTGTGTAGATACATGTTTTCATTTACCTTTGAAACTGCTGAATATTAAGGCTAACTGCCAGACTAATATCCAAAGAGGCTATACCAGTTCACAATGCCATCAACTGTGTATGAGGGCTCTAATTTCTCACTATTTTTGTTATCATTACAATTGCCTTATTTTAAAAACTATTATAGCCATTCTAGTGGATGTGAAATGACCATGGTTTTGATTTACCTTTCCTTAATGTATAAGTATATAGCATCTCTTCATGTGTTTATAGGGAATTTGTATGTTTCCTTTTCTTTTTTGGTACTGGGGAAAGAACTCAGGTTCTTGTGCTTGCAAGGCAGGTGGCAGCACCACTGAGCCAAATCCCCGGCCTTGTATGTTTTCTTTGGAGAAATGTCTATGCAGGTTACTTGCCTTTTTTAAAGGTTTTTTTTTTTTTAATTGAGTTGTAAGAGTTTTTTAATATACTCCATACAAAAGTCTATAATCAGATATGCTTTATCCTTATTATGATAATATTTTCTCCTATTCTGTGATTTCTTTCCACTTTTTTGATGGTATCCTTTGCAGCACAAATGTTTTTACTTTTGTTGATGTCTAGTTTATCTATTTTTCTCACGTTGCTTTAGTTTGCATATCTAATTCAGGCCACGAAGATTTAGGTATATACTGTCTTCCAAGGGTTTTACAATGTTAACTGTTACAACGAGGATCCTAAGGTTGTTCTATACCTGAGCCAAGTCTTACTCATTGTTAATACCTAACTAGATCTAGTGCCTACTACACCTTCAGAACTGACCTTTGCCATTAGTGCCTAAAACAGGACTGAAATCTGGGGCAAACTTCATCCTACCCTTCTGCCCCATATGTATCAATAAAAGGAAAATATTTTCCTCAAGTCTCTTACTGACGGCAAAGTCCACAATCTTCTAAAACAGAGCAATAAGACCATCAATCAAGAGACATATGCCTTTCAACTGTGAAGTAGGAAGTAAAAGCACAGACCAAGATATGAAAGACACTCATAAGCTAGAATGACAGAGGAGCACATCTGGGCTGAAAGGTCATCCCAGGTACAGCGCCTTGACCTCGCCACCTCCTGGACAATGAGTCAAAACAAACCCTTATTCTTTGTAATTGACTCTGCCTATGTATTGTTTTCGGCATCAGAAAACAGACTAACGCGCGTGATATGCTAGAAAGAGCTCTGTATACCAGGCTGTCTCTTTCCTGGGACACAGTATCCAACACTCACAACTTAAAGGAGGAAAAGGTTATTTTGGTTCAGTGTGTAGACCTTTCAGTCCTTAGGTGGCTGGCTCCAAGGCAAGGCGGCATAGCAGAGGGGCAGACAGGAAGCAAAGAAAGTGATCAAGGGAGTGGGGTGAGATACAGACCCTTCCCGGCCGCACCCCCAGTAACCCAGCTCTTCAACCAGGCTTTACCTCCCAACATCACAGTTAGCTTCAAATTCATCAGTGGATTAATTCAGAGATGCGTATCACGTCCCCAGGATCCAAAAGCACCACCTATGAGTGCATGTGGCTTTTGGGGAGGACATCTAAATATAAACTATAACATCATCATTCTACTCTGAACTTAAACAGAGATGTTAAGATTATAGAAAATGTAGCCCACACGTAGTCTACAAAAGAAAAAGAAAAGTTGCATCATCCTCCTAGCAGAATCTGTGACCTACACCTTGAATTGTGAGCCAGATCCTGGGAACTGGTGATGCTGGGTAACACCTCATAAGCCCAGGCTTGTGTGTCTTCTTGGGAACTGACTGTTGCTGTCTCCACTGCCACAGGCACCCAGGGAGGATGGTGTCTAGAAGTCCCCAAAGTGCTGATGGGCTAGAACAGTGGTAACATTGATATCAAAATGCCTCCTGGGCAGAAGGCCAAGTGGAACTGAGGATGAGGCTCTGCAAGAAGGCAGGTATGTGCAGCTTGGAGTAGACAGAGTGCTCGCTTAAGACTTCGACTCCCAGGGAAGACTGAGACTAACAGTGGGATTCCGCACGGACTTCTAACAGCAGCTTGCTAACCGTACAACCTGTGTAAGGTTATTTCATTTGTGTATTTAGTTTCCAAGTCTTTGAAAAGGCACTTCACAAGGTTTTTAGGGAGACTGCAGCACATTTAGGAGTCCAGCAAAAGCACAGGCTCTAGTATCTGCACGTGGTAAGCATTCAGCAGATGATCACTACTTGTTAGAGACTAAAATATGTTCTCCCCAAGCTCATACATGGGATCCCTAACCTGCAGTGTGACTAATGTGGAGATCTGTCTCAAAGAGGTAATTAAATAAAATTGTAAGGATGGAGCCTTAATGCCTTTGATGAGTGTTCCCCAGAAAAGAGACACTGGGCATGCACGTGGAAACGTGGCCACCTGCACGCCAAGGAAAGGTGTTGGGGAGAAATGGATCCCGCCAAACCTGGAGCTTGGACTTCCATCCTCCACCGCTGTGAGAAACAAGTTTGTGTTGTTTCAGCCAGCCAGTCTTTGGTATTTTGTCATGGCAGCTCTGACACATGAGTAACTACTGCTGACAATTACATCAGTATGGGAAGACACAGTTGGACGACTTGACACCGCGTTTCTGCTCTCAAAGACCAATGACCCCAGGCCTAATAAGCTACACGCTGTGCTACTAAACCAAAAGCAGCATCCAAACAGCATGCAAGGATACTGTAGATGACCCTGGGGCAGGATGGTGGTGCTTAACTTGCTCTAAAAATCTTTAATAAGCCATAATGCAAAACATTCCAAAATCAACTTAGCTTTCTAATTCATGACCTGTTTGTTATCTTCTAGATTCTAGCAAATCAAATACATGGATTCCCATGATGGATGACAGGGAAGGGTTTATAAACAGGGATCCTATCTCCTCCCTCCCACCACTACCCAGGACGGCTTGCTGAAGTCTGCAGGGTGTAAGCACAGACAAGCAGACACACCTAAAGGAAGAGCTTCTAGGGCCAAGTGACCCTCCCTCAAACTCACCAGGCCTCCTCCATTCTTGGCCCCTGGCCACCTGCTTCACTCTCTGCCTGGCAACTTCTCCCCTGCTTTCTGTCCCCTTCCACACACCCCCACCTCTATGATGGTGCACAAGCCTCACAGGTTGTTCCCACCCTAAAACATCCTACCAGGCATGTGTGAACATGTATGGACACGTTCTCCTGCCATGCCCTGCCCCCTTTACTCCTCATGTTTTAGTTCTCAATTTATATTTTAAATATCACCCCAAAGAAAAGCCTTTGATGATCCATCCCCAGTTCCTTCCCTCAACCCATTATTTTTCTAACCAGAGCATATTGATTTTTTCACAGCACTGCCTTCAAACTACAATTAGTTCTACCTATCTGCATCTACCTGTCTATCTCTGTATAACCCTCTCTGCACTCTTCTTGTCTGCTTTCTCTAGGCATTTCCTTAAGACATGATCATCATTATATTCAGTGTTACTCTACCCTCAGCACAACATCTGGCATGTGGTAGGTAACCCAGCAACCACTGTTTCATGAAAGCAAGCTCTGAGCATCCAGTAAGGAGGGCCTACTTATCTACTTATGCCTACCCCTCCCCTATCCTCCAGAGGCCACACCTGGAAGAAGATGGTACCTGCCCCCCTCTCACACAAAGGCAAGTGAAGCAGTAAGTGCAACCTTCACATTAAACATAAAATGGCAGACACCACCTTCTTCAAAGTCTTCCCACACCTTTTAGCTTGTTAGCTTTTATCTCTTGTGTTTAAACAATGAATTAAAACTTATTTTAAAGGCTAGATCATGCTATCAGTACTGTAGCTGCTTACTAGATATTTCTCGAAGCAAACATTTTTCTATAAAATCCTTACTGATAATCTCTGAGGTAGATGGGGGAATATTTAAAGTTAGAATGTGTATTTCTGCTGTAACTGTTTTTTTCTGATTGAATATTATTTGTAAAAATTAGTTTAGCTGATGCTATGGTTTAGATATGGTTATGGTGTATCCCTAAGGCTTCAAACACTGGAGTTTTACCCCCATTATAAGGTATTAAGAGGATGGCAACTTAATTTAACTATGGCGCTTAGGAGTAAAGTCCTTGGGAGGTGATTAGGATTAGACAGGGTATCATCCCCATGGCGGAATCATGAGAGACATAAGACACACACAAGTATGCTCCTTGTCTTGTGCCCTGCGTTACCTTGTACTGGCTCAGGGCTCTGCCAAGAGAAAGGTCACTGCCATACACAGCCCCTTGACCTTGCAACCCGTGAATAAAGAGCCAAAATAAACCTGTTTTCTTTGTAACTCACTCTGTCTGTTGAATTGTATTGTTGACATCAGAAAATGGACTAAGACAGGTGTCATGGTAGAAACAGCTCTGGATAGGGAATATAATATACATACATCCCAGGATAAGCTCAGGGAGTGACAGGCCATGCGGTTCTTAGTCAATAACAATCTCTTTCCAGGATGCAGAGTGCCAAGGCAGTTTGGGCCAGCCATTGCACAGACTTACACAGTTATAATAATTATATTAATGAGAACTCTGCAAAACTCATACAGGGCCAAACTTTTACATTGTATAAAAGTGTCAGCTGAGCTCTACTCAAGGGGCACAGCCATATACTCAGGTTATAACCACCTCTCAGGAACTGCAACTTTCTTAATCACTAAAAGACCTGAAAAAAACTGCATTCCCTTTTAAGAAGAAACACACTGAAAAAAAAATAATAATGATAACGATAAAATAAGCAATAATCATTAAAATCCACTGCATTATGTTAACCTTCTACACAAGAGCCGGGTGGTGGCACACGCCTTTAAGCTCAGCACTCAGGAGGCTGCGGCAGGAGGATCGCTGTGTGTTCGAGACCAGCCTGGGCTGCATAGTGAGTTCCAGGTCTGTCTCAACTACATAGTGAGACCCTGTCTCAAAAAAAAACAAAAAAAGAAAAAAAAAATTCTACACAAGACTATATGCAGAAATATGCTACCTTATATTTTATTAATTGTATGAATTTGAGTAAGAATTGGAATGTCATGTAAGATGGTCTTAAAGGCTTCTTTTCTTCAACATGGAGATAAATTAGGAAACCATCTTCTTTCCATCACCCATCTCAGCCCATTTAGAGTGGGCCCTAAACCAATCTGCCTGATGTGTTTGTAAGGAGAGGAAATTTCCCAGAGACATGCAGTTTGCACACAGACAGAGGAAAAACCATCTGAAGACACATGGAAAAGGCGGCCATCTGCAAGCCAAGAAGAAAGGCCTCAAGAGAAACCAAACTTGCTGGCATCTTGATCTTGCATTTCCAGCCTCTAGAGAAGTGAGAAAAGTAATTTCCATTGTTTTATCTACCTAGTGTGTTGTATTTTATATTTGCAGCTCCAGCAAGCTAATTATTATTTATGAAATTATGACTACTATTATGTCCTACAGTATCATATGAAAGGAAAAATCATGCATTAATTGTACAGATTCTGGGCTCTATTCAGCTCTTCTCCTTATTAACTACAGGACCTCTGTTAGCTTTCCAGTCATGTGCACACCCATGTATACATCATATTTACATCACTTAGTGCCTATGCTATGTCTCACCTAAGTTCCACCCTCCCCTTCTCCCCACACCTACAGTATATTCTAATCCAGATTTGATCTTGTCGCTCCCCTACTTAAAACTTGCACTGTTCAGATGTTCTTGGGATCAAGTGAGAAACGCTGAGACTCAGCATACCAGGCCCTTTATAACCTCTCTATCCAACCTAGTAACCTGCCATTCTGGTTTCTACACTGAGAAATATACAGCAGCTTATTATGGTTTGGAGCTGAAATGTCCCCCAAAGCTCGTGTGCTGAAAGCTCAATCCTCAACACAGCAGTACTCAGAGGTGGTGAAGTGACAGGATCATAAAAGCACTAATCTTTATCAATGAATTAATCCACTGATGGACATATAGCTTAATGGGCTACAGGGAAGTAGCAGAAAATTTAGGAGGTAGGGGCTGGCCGGGAGAAGTACGCTAGTGGGAGGTGTGCCCTTTAAGGGTATATTTTGTCCTGCCCAGTCCCTTCCTTTCTCTTATTTATTGCTCCTGACCACCATGATGTGAGCAGCTTTGCTCCACCGTGAGGTTCCCACCATGATGTTCACCCCACCATAAGCCCAGCAACAATGGAGCCAAGCAATCAGGGACTAAAACCTCTGAAACTATAAGCCTTCTTCCTTACAAACTGTTTCTTGTGGGTATTTTGTCACAGCAATGGAAAGCTGAGTAACACACACAGAGCCACAACCCACTTCACTCTTCCAACAGATCATCTTCCTATCTCTGAGCCTTGATCCATTTTTCTCTGCTCCACTCAATTTCTAGGCAAATCTTTTAGTAGCATCTCATCATATTCAGGTGAAACCAATTTCTACAGATGGGCCAGAGTCCGGAATTTATTAACTCAAATTTAGAATCAATACTTAGCCGGGCGTGGTAGCGCATGCCTGTAATCCCAGCACTTGGGAAACTGAGGCAGGAGGATCACTGTGAGTTTGAGACCAGCCTGGGCTACATAGTGAGTTCCAGGTCAGTCTCAACTACACAGTGAGACCCTGTCTCAAAAAAAAAAAAAGTAGAATCTATACT